CCTAAATGGGTAGCTAATACACAACCGGGGGCAGCCAGTATGGTGCGAGAGCCACTTTCTAGAAGATTACACAGCGGACACATCAGTTTAAAAGCCAGGAGAATGCCTTTTAAGGTGTCCGGGCACAACGAATGGCTAATGTCAAGACATGATATGTATACATGCCAGTAAAACCAGCGTATTCTAAAAGGCCAGTACGCATTGCGTAGGTGTTTCATCCCAGCGGCGCGCATTTCTGGAAACCTGGGGAAACCTCGGAGGCATGACCACTGGTCTATAATTTACCATCTGGACACGATCGGGTGATCATTAGTGGGGCTAGTTCGAACTCAGAAAGGGCAGGACCCTGCTTATCCTTCACCCGTGGGACTCAGGTCATCTGGTTTCACGTGTACACCGGTTATTTGGGCACCAGCAACTCGGACGAAACTCAACTCATCGGGTGAAATATACCATTTGATGATCTGTTTAGAGATTTTTTGGTGTGAATAAGCTCAAGAATTGCCATGAAAATTGTGTTTTCTGAGTATAACTATATTTGGAGAGCCAGTCTAACACTTTCACGTGATGTGGATCCAGTGAGTGAAGAATGCGTGTCTTTATATCTTGTTAGGTTATCAACCCTAACTCCCCACATCCGGTTTTAAAACAACCGTCCGGGGCTCATCTATATCACCTACATTGCTGGTGCACCAGCACGTAACGGCTAGTATTCCTGCAGATTTTTCGCTCTCGCTTGCATGTAAGCTGGATATTTTAGTGCAGCAACCTAAGTTTGGAGAATACATGATGAAAGAAATCATTGAAATCTTCGGTAGATCGGAGTAGTTTTGTCTCAATACATATATGTCAGTACGTGTCAATATATGAAGACGCTTTGTAAGATTACCACTACTACAAAATATCCTGTTCATATGAACACAAAATTGGTCTATTGTGTCACCCTTTTCACTTAACACGCATCAGAATAAACCAACACTATCCTGGTTCCACACCGATGCAGGCGTTTAATCGCCTGTTGTCACGTGGAATATGCGACGCTGTTCCGCGATCAGCTGTTGACGGACATCTTACGATATCAGTGAAATTTATGCCACCGAACAATGTGATCGTAAAAGCTCGGACGGCTGGTTTTATGTCAGTAATATTTTGTTTAAAGTGACACTGTATTTGTCGTCTCTATGGACGAAGATGTACATAAAGTCCCCTTGCCAGATAAGAATCTCGGTCCTTGGTCTGTGGTCGTCGAGGATCCTGTACGATCGACAGGACGTGAGGATCATACGAATACACTGTACGGCGCCTTAAACTGTCATATTCCCATCAATTGAGTTTATGGCGTGGTGAAGAGGTCGATTTTTGTTAGCTCCTCAACCACTCGTCTGATGGACTGGGGTAATTTTCTATGCCCCAACGGTGGATGTTAGGGTGAAGTTCCCGGAATCGGGGCTAGCACGTTGGAGCCCGCCCAACCGAAACCACAAGACCGCATCTAGACTCGAGTTCGTCGGCCCTTTGACAAACGGAAAGCACTGAAAGGACCATGATATTAATTTTTCATTGTCAGGTTTACTTAAATAGTAATACTAATAATGTTTACTCCCATCTGGTGGATGGCACACCGTCACGTATGACCATAATGTTACAATCATAATAAAGACATGACTGGCAGGGTTTGCGCGTGCAGGGAATTGCGCGAAAAAGTGACAGTGTCATAAAAAGTGGGCACTTTGCTATTTAGACGCTAGAATCTGATGGTGACGGGCAAAAACAAAACGAGGGAGGGCAAACCAAGAGGCATCGTGCTTGACACATGACAAGAAAACTGCGAATTGCGGAAAATGAGGAAGCACAAAAAGGTTCCGCTGAAGCAGCCACGTTGGCGTCATTCAGCCCGTCGATTTGAACTAAAACTTAAAAGCACCACTGGGGCCTCGTGGCCTTGGACTGTTGGGCTTGTGGCCAGGGTCACAGAAGGCGTAAGTGGGGATGGTGGAATGAAGGGATTAGCAATGCGGATAAATGGTATTAAAAATCTCAGAGTAATGATACTGTTCATTCCCATCTAGTGGGTGGCACATCGTCGGGCGTGATCACAAGATTGCATTCAGAATAAAGCACGATTGGAAGATTGGCGGACAATTGGGATTGTACATTGACACCGACGTAAATCAGGCACAAATTTAAACGCAGAAGCGGACGCCAATCTGGAATAAATACGCCTGAGTTATAGAAAAAGGAAGTGGTTTCCGTAAAAATTCGCCCGCGACAACAAATGGGTGGGTAGTTGACCGTCAGATTGAAGATGGCTCATCATAACCGTCATCTACAGCATGGCCGATAGGGTTTCTCCAAAAAAGAGGCTCCAGGACGATGGTAGCATTTCTGAGTCTGTACAGCTAATATAGTGGAGCAGTTCATATCAATGATTCTGCCAGTGCTAATTGCCAACCTTGGATCGCAACTACTCCGAGGAATTGTGTTCAGCGAGCTAAGCAAGCCAACTTCCCCTTGAGTTCCAACTGTTTAATGACCAAATTATAGATGGAATAGTAGGGTTCGGATGGCGAAGTCAAGGTGAAATTTGGTGGCCCCGACGTGCGAATGACTATTGTGCTGGGCATTTGGGTGATGGTCATACGGCGTGGGATTAGTCGCAGCAAGTAACAAGTGAGGCAAAGAGGATTCTACAGAAATGACGATAAATGAGCAGAGATGGCAGTAATTCCTGGTTTCTACTTATCCGGCTCGATGTATGCGAAGGTTAAGGTGACCAGCTTAATGTCATCATTCGTCAGCCGGCGTGCCAGTAAGGTGCAAGTGCTAATGGATTTCATGATTGCATATAGACGGAGGCGCTACCAAACAGACCACACCTAGATGGGAGAATGACTTTGTTTACAAGCTTGATCATGAGGTTTTGATGATTGGCGTGGGGGTAACAGTGGTCATATCCTTCAGAAAATAAGATGCTATGCTTGATTCACTCCATCACATGGAGAGCAGCTGACGGTTTTCCGGACCTCTACCCATCCAATAACTTGGCAGGATTCTGTATAAAGGTCAACAATTACGGCCTATTTTCTGAGCTTTGCGATCAACTCTGCTATTGCGGTCCTTTTTGCGGTGAACTGCTGCATCAAAATGCCCTCGCAATAATGTGTCTTGAGATAGAACTGATGACGAAAGCTCCAAACGGCTCGCTCCGCCCCGGAGCTGAGTAGATTTCACCAACACATTAAAATAAGAGCGTGAAAGTGATGAGGCCTTCCCTTCGAGCGACTAGCATTCCCGTATTTATCGAAGCAATGATGCTGCATTCCTCTTAGTGAGGACGCTTATGCGTGGCCACATTAGGAAATATACGGTTATGCGTTCTTCCCAGTTTCTTCTGGCCAGCCTGCAGCCAAGTGGGTCAGAATTTAAGGTCACTTATATCGCGTAGAGTGAAATAAAAATCGTTCAGCTGTAGCACCCTATCGGTGCCTAGCTGCTATGCCACTCAAAGGAAGCCCGAGGGCTGGGATTCTGTCAGGTTGTCCAAGCCTAGACGGAGGAAGTCGAGAGGCAGAGGTCGGGTTCGAACCACGGACATTCCGGTCAGTAAATTCGTGCTCTAACCACTTGTTCCATCTCACCCCGGGTAAAGCACCTAAGGAAATCCCCGAAGGATATCAAAAAGTCAGTTTAAAGACTAATGTTCCGCTCCATGTAACCACAATTTATTTGAAAGCCATATTGTGATGGGCATTACCAGTTTTCTGGGCCTCTTCAATTTCGTTGGCTTTCTGTGTCCACCAGGTTTCACGGTAGGCACGCACGTTCACTTTCACTTGACTTTTGGTAATTCGTCGGGTCAGGGTATGATCGTGACCGAGTGAGATATTTCTCGGGGATTTTAGCAATGCAAATGTTCGGTCTGTTATTGTTTGACTGAGCCTGGTGGTGGTAGTGTGCCACAGGCGAAACTTGCAGCACTGTGCAAAGAGGCTATGCCATCCCAGTGTAAATTCCCGTCTGATGGTGAAGTAGTTGGATGCGAATCTTCCAGTTTCTCAATCGCCAGGCGATTTTTCCGCACCTTGTATGGTCCTGGGAATCTAAGGAGAATCAACCACGGACGAGCGCGTGGTCGGAATTTATAAGCGTGTTCCAAAACGATCGGTAGTCAGTTGTCCATCCGAACCATCAGTGACTGATGGCAATGTAGTCGATTTGAGTTGTGGTTGGCACGCCGTTTGAGGGTACCATGTGGCAACCGATTACTGCTATTTCGGAAGTCAGTACCGCATGAAAACAGCTGCAATCAGCTCACAGCCGAAGTATTTGTTCGCCATTGTCCATATGTACCTAGTCCAATCCACATCGACCACCTTATTGAGTCCTAGATGCGCTAAGCCTGTCCACTTGTTCATTCAGATCTCCGGCGACCACAACGATATCTGAGCTTTCAGCCTGCTACATCAGGTTATTCACGGCGTCATAAAATTTACCCTGTCATAGCTCCAGTCGGTTGGGTCCTAAGCAGACACGACAAACAGAGAGCGACATGTTTATGATATTTCTTCGCCGACGGTGCTAGAGGAATTACACACAGGTGACTGTAAACCGGCATCCACTCAGACAGGGATCCTTCCGCCCATTAACTTAGGACAATACCAATCCCTGCACATCCTGCCGTTGCATCCTTTCAATCGTCACAGGTGCGCAGCCGGAAGCGAGTAGATTGTGAGAGGGCGGTCAGTTCAGACGACGCGATCAGCTGTAGCACCCTTTTAGTGCCTAGCTGCCATGCCACCCGAAGGAAGCACGAGGGCTAGGATACTGCCAGGTTGCCCAAGCCTAGACAGGGGAAATTGAGAGGCAGAGGTCGGTTTCGAACCGCGGACCTTCCGGTCAGTAAATCGGCGCTCTAACCACTTGAGCCATCTCGCCTCCTAGTCAGTTCAGACATTGTGCTTGCATCTTGAATTTCTGTTTCTGAGACACAGCACACATCAATGCCAAGCGCGTCTACTGTGAGCATGAGCAGCTTGTTGACCTGCTTGCTTCAGAGTGTGGACAGTGAAGGAAGATAGACAGACTAGGTGTTCAGGCTTGAAGATTGATTTCCGGGTGCTTAAGAATGTCGGCGCCGGATGGCGCGCAGATGTTGCTTGCGAAACCAAAGCAGGACGACCGGAGTTATCTGTCCTAAGTACTGGGCGTGCAAGGATATAGTTACTAGTGTGCTGGAGAGGGGGGGGGGAAGAAAAAGTGCGAAAGAGAAAGAAGAGAGGTGCCAGCAGTAGCCTCTTTTCGCTTATTCTTCCTGCTGTGTCTTGTGAATAAGGTGACCCAGTTGACTGCCACACGTGACGGCCAATGTGGCATGCGTTTATTTGTATATGTGCAATTCATGGTTTTACATGGGCCGGTATTCTGACCGGGCTCTTGCACCTAGACAGGAAAACGATTGAGGTTTCCAACCAAAGCCTTTCGCACAAAAACCTGACTGCAAGGCAGCGGTGCTCGGCTGGAAATGCCGCCTCCCTGGATGGAGACCGCAGGACGAGACAAACCGATGTTTAGTGACGCTGACAGGGATGGCTGTCTCACACAACCAATGGTGGTCTTGCATCAATGTTATGGCCCTCACTCCGTAGCTCTGTTGTTGTGACAAGGGTAGAAGCGCAGGGACAATCAGGGTGAGAATATAAATGACTAAGGGACAAGCAACTAGGCTTTATTCATCCAAAACCTTGACGCTGTGAGCTAAAGCGAGAATATGTGATATCGCAATGAAGGTGAAGTAGAACACTGGACGGTCAACGTTGAACCACCTACGGCCTCGGAGGTTTACATCATCCATCATTGTCAGCTGTAAGAACCGCGTACCAATGAAGGTTAGAACACTGGACGGTCAACGTTGAACCACCTACGGCCTCGGAGGTTTACATCATCCATCATTGTCAGCTGTAAGAACCGACCGCTCGTCGTACACTGGTTGTAGCTGCCGCAGTTTCGTTCACCGATGATTGGGGGGGGGGTAGGTGGCTCCGCATTGCACGCGCGAGCTGGTAAATTGGTGCATAAATCC